TGTAAAAAAACTTCAAGAAGCAGCAAAAAAGTATTACTAGGAATATGCTTCTCAAGAAATACATAAATCACGTTATATAGGAAACTCAAGTTGCACTAAAAAAAAAAAGAATTAGCAACAACATGAAGCAGCAAAAGGGACCCTTAAGTTACATACCTTTTAGAATATTAAAGAAATTGAAGAAATTGATGATGAGACTGATATAGAAGTGAATGATAATGCTAATAATGATGCTGATAAACAGTTGGATAATGAGGTTGAGAATTACAATTAGAATAATAAAATTCTGGATACTCTCGAAAGTCTGAAGTTAGATATTAAAAATGAAAAAACAAATAGTGAGGTTTGAATGCGTTTAAATAGCATTTATCTTTATCTTTAGCTTATAAAATGCAACCATCCAAAGATGAAAGCAAGCGAAATTATTGCTAATGTGACAGGAAAAGGAATATATTATGCCAAATGCATTCGTTCTTAGGCATATAAGTATATAATGAATCGCAATATTCCCTACTCCCGTCAAGAACATCATACTAAAATATGGAGCTTTCTCTAGGATGAGGATATTCTTCTCCAAGTGAAATCATATGTTCAAAAGCATAAGTGGGGAATTACTTCACAAATATTAATGATACAAATGAATGAAATTATTTACCAAGGCTCAGATTTGCACTATCTTTAACTATTCACCTTAATACTGTGAAAAACTATTTGAAAGAGCTTAAATACACATACGCTAAGATAAAAAAGGGAATGTATATAGATAGACATGAAAGAAAAGATGTAGTGATCTATCGAAAAATATTTTTAGAACAAATGAATGAACTTGAATGTAGAATGCCTACTTTTTTAGGAGACAACTTGGAAGAAGTAACCTGGCCTGACAATCTACTTATTCTTGTTACATACAATGAATGCATTTTCTTAGCTTATGATGGAAGTCAGAGTCTTTAGATCCCTAATGGAGAACAACCTTTACGAAAAAAGGGCAATGGTCGCTCAATTTATGTTAGCGATTTTTTGATTGATGTCTGTAGCTGTCTTGCACTTTCTGATGAAGCACAGATATCAGATGATTTCTCTAAAGAGGCCTATGTCATTATGCATCCAGGTAAAAATAACGATGGATAGTAGAAGGCTGAAGATTTGGTAAACCAAGTAATCAAATGTATTATTTCCATATTTGAAGCACGCTTTCTAGGATGTCAGGTCTTATTTGCATTTAATAATGCATCAAGCTATGCTACTTTTTCATCAGATGCACTTATTGCTAAATATATAAATCTCAGCTCTGGTGGAAAGCAGCCAAATATGCGCAGCACGTATTTTGGTGAGAGAATTCAACAAAAAATAGTCTTTTCGCTAAATTATCATATTCTTAAATTGCGTAAACAGCAAAAAGGGTTAAAACAAGTTCTAACAGAAAGGGAATTGTGGCTAGACAGGGGGTTGAAATTAGAAGAAACACGAAAAATAATGAGTCAGCAACCAGACTTTTTAGCACAAAAGAGTCGACTAGAAGAGGTTATTGTTACAGCTGGGCATCAAATTATATTCTATCCTAAATTTCATTGTGAACTCAATTATATTGAGAACTTTTGGGATGCAGCTAAGAAATTTAGTCAGTCAAATTGTGATTACTCATGGACAGGATTACAAAGAACTGTTCTATTAGCTCTTGCTTCTATTTCACTTATAACTATTTATCAGTATGCAATAAAAGCATTTCATTATATGGATGTATACCGAAAAGGTTTAACAGGTTGAGCTGCAAAATTTGCGATTAAAAAATATTGTTCACATCATCAAGTTTCCAATTCAGTTTTACAAACAGTTAATATTTAGGCAAATTAGATACACTGGTTTATTTACACTGGCTACGGACAAGAATAAAAGTAAAAAATTAGTAAATATGTATAAATAAATACATATTAATAATAGTAATTAAATAAAATACTTATCTTTAGCAGCTTTAAAAAACTTTCGTTTATTCAAATCATGTAATAAATCTATTTCAAAAGATAGTGAGATTGATTTTATGATTTTTGGCTTTTGATCAGTATTACAAAATACAAATCAGCCAATCAATGGCGAGAATTTTGATCACGTGATAACATGCAAGTGTGGCTAAAAATATCAGTCTAATAGTAAAATTACCTCAACTTCGAATTGCTACTATTCTACTAAAAATTATTTTACAGCAAATATGAAATTATAGTTGTGTTCTTCTTAAATGGTTCTATCATTCTATAATAAGATTTGATGTTTATTATTTTTTTTGAGTGAGGAGTAGCAATTTGAATTTTATTAAATTTATTGGTTAGGACTAAATTGTATACATTGTAGAAATAGAAATAAGAATAGGAAATAAAATAAGAATTAGAAATATAAATAAGAAATATAAATAAAAGATTAGAAATTAAAAGAAAAATCTAAGAAATTAATTAATTATAAATAGAGATAAAATTTATCTTATAAAAATTAGATATTTTATTTTAATAATAAATCTATTAATAATATACTTATATTTTATAATAAAAAAGATTTTAGATATAAAAATATATTATATATTTACATATTAATTTGATTATTATATTGTTAAATTTATTTAGAATAAAATAAAACTGAATATTAAAATAAGACAATTAGAGACTGAATATTATAAAGATTATAAACATAAGGAGGAGAAATACCAAGAAGCTGACTAATCTTTATAATGCTACAACAATCATAAAATAAAGCAGTATAAATAAATCTTAAGAATAAAAAAAAAATTATATATATAAATATTAATAACAGAAATAATAATAATAAAAATAACTCAAAATAATCAACAGAAGTCTAAAAATAAAAATAATAATAAAAAAGAAAATAAAATAAGAAATTTAATAGAAAAATTTAAATAATAAATTGAAAATATAAATAAAGAAATAATTAAAAAATAAAGAAAAAAAAGAAATTAATAAAGAATAATATTAGAAATAATGTTGAAAACAAGATTAAAAATAATATTAGAATAATAAAAAATATATATAAAAAATAATATTAAATAATGAACTTGAAAATTAAAAATAAAAATGAAGAGAAGAAATAATAACAAAGATTTTAACAAAAAATTATATAAAGTAAGATATAATAAATTATGAATGATATTTAGATTATTATTTACTAAAAAATTTATTAATTATATTTTTATTATTATATAAATAATTATTTAAAATTTAATAATATAATATTAATATAAATTTAATAAATATATATATTATAATTTTTTTAATATTGATTATATTCTAGATATAATTTTAAATAGATAATTTATTATTAATATATTTAGTTTTATATATAAATATAAAAGTTTTTATTATAAAAAACAAATTTTACTTATATATTAAATATAATTAAATTTAAATTTAATAATAATTTAAAAATTTTTTTAATTTCAATTTATTAATAAAAAAAATATATTTTTCTAATTAAAATTTAAATTTAAAAAAATTTTATTTTTTATTAAAGAAAATCTTTTAGATTTTTTAAATAAATAAATATAAATTAAACTTTTTACAAATAATTATTAATTTTTATTATATTAAACTTTTATTTTATTATAATAAAATAATTATACTTAATGATTATTTTAATTAATAACATTTATTAAAAGTTAATTTATTTAATCAACTTAAATATTTTTATAATAAATTTATTAGATTTTTATAATAATCTATAAAAATATAAAATTTTTCTTATAACTTTAAATATATTTGTTAAAAAATATTAGTATTTTAGTTTACTTTAAAATTAATTAGCATCATTTTTAAAAAACTTATTATAAAAAGATTAGTTTTACTTAAAATTTTTAATTAATAAATAAAATGTAAGAAAAATTTGAAATGAAAAAGATATATTTTAATTTAAATTAATAAAATTATATAAATTAATTTTATTAAATTTTTTTTTAAATATATAAACTCTCAAAATTCAATTTATTTAAATAATATAAAAAAATTAACTAAAATTCTTATTTATTAACCATATTTTAACTGGTTATTAACTGGTTAAAGAATTTTTGACCAGTTTTAACCTTTATATGTGTTTCTATATAATTTGTTATACCCTTTGTTTTAGGAACTGAGAATTTTTTAGTATGAAAAATTCTATTTGTCACCTTATTTGTCACAAGGATAATTTCGGCCAAGTTCAGTAATGCCGGCCAAAAAATCACGTGGCTGAAATGTGGGTAGTTATTTCGCAATTGTGTATTCACGTGATTGTCGTTGAACTTGATTGAAGAATTGAACAGTGAGTTGTTGTTGAACCAATGATATCGCGATATAGATGAATGGATAAAAGGCAAACGCGTTGATCATTATAAAGTCAAATAGGTAATCTTATATTTTATGATTTGATTTTGATACTTCAATCAGATAAAGATGTTTGCGACGGATTGTTAATTTTCCAATTTTTCCAATTGCTTCTTCTATGACACACATAGAAAGTATTTTAACTTTATCGATTCGATGTCATTTTACAATAATCTTACGGCACTTTAAATGAAACAAATGACCTTTTCCAATAGATCGGACTTAACGGGCGAAAAATACCAGTCATGTAAAGGTTTTCTTAGCTGTTGGAGTCGGAGCCTATGGCTGATTCGACTCAACTCCGGCATTTTAATGTCAGAACATCGCGAAATTCTCAATTAAATAATATTAACCGAATGGGATCCCGACAACTGTATACAACTTTTAACTCTGGTCAAAACTTAACAAGATAATTTCAGTCGAAAATTTTTAAAATATTAAGTTAGTAATAAAATTATGGTTGTATTCATTAAACATGAAAAGAGAGATTTTTGAATAATAATGCAATTCCTCAAAAGTCAAGGGAAGAAATTCTTTATTAAATTTGGACGAAAAAAAAAAAAATAATTATATATGTCTTCCTAACTTTTAAACGTCTTAAATATTAATACATGTTTTTTACACACAAACACTACGTCAAAGTTATATGACAAATGCTTTAAAATTAAAATGAATATTGTCATACGTAAAATCTCGAATCACGCCGTCATCCTTGTATCTGTCTATAATTTCCATATACTCCTCTCCTTTATAATGGGGGTCTGATGTCATTATCGAAAGTGGAATTCGACCTCTCCAATTTTCTAAAAAGGTTTCCAAGGTTTTCAGGGAAAATTTAAACCCAGGATAAAATGAATGAAATTCCCCAAATCTAATGTCTCTCAGATTATTTGGTGCTGACTTTATTAATGCATTGGATAATTTTTCTCCAGATGCAAACTTGATTTCTTCTTCATTTATGCTTAATATTAATGTCTTCAAATTTTGACAAGTTTCTAGTAATTTTTCGAATTCGATGAATTGCTCCTTTGATGATGAGAATGCAAGGGTCAAATGTTCAACCAAAGGACAATTTTCACGTATGGCGCGAATCAGAACGGAATGATCATCATCGTCATCATCGATGCAATATTCATTGACCAAAATTTTCTTGAGATGTCTTCCACCATTTTTAATTAAATGAATAATCGTGCTGGTCTCAATATATTTTATTTGTAGAATTTCAAGTTTTTGATAGCATGATTGTTTCAATTGATTTTCAATTTCAAAGTAAGTGGCATCAACTATTAATGATTTTAAATTTTGAAATTTTGATAGATTTATCGTTAAAGGGATCTCATAATCAAATTCATCATTTAAAATTATTACAAGACGAGCAAGTGTATCTGACTTGTTCTCTAATGCTATAAAAATTTCATAATAAGTATTCTCCGCAAAATATAAATATTCATAATCACTAAAATCATCCACCCATTCAAAAGATTGTAAATTCCTCTGAGCCTCAATCAACTCAACGATTCCTTCGATAGACCTTACGTCAGTATTGACAATGGTGATACTTTGTATGGATTGACAGATACGTGCTAATCCATAAAAGTAGCTTGGATCAATGGATGTGTCACATTTTAGCTCACAAAGTGAATCAAGACGATTCTTGGCCTCTGCAAATAAAAATATTTGATGTTCAATTGATCTTATATCCAAATACTTTAACTCTAAACATTTTCTCATACAAAGACCATAAATTTCTTGTTGTAATATAAATTGTCTATAAGCTGACGGAGAACCAATAGAAGCTATACCTTTTATAACATTTGTATTGATGCTCCTACAGAAAGACAAATAGTCAAATAAAGATGATTGGTGAGAATTTGATGGTAATAGAACTCCTTGTTTTGTTAAACTATCTTTAATATCATCGGATAAAAAGGAGATGATAGTGTTGTACAATGAACTTTTGCTTTGATAATTAATGTTATTGTTATAACGCCAAGGATTCCTCCATAAGACCGGGATTACGGTCTCACACCAAAGCCTGTTAACTAAAAGACATGAAAAGAGAGACGTGGAATCGTATTGTAATTCCTCAAATAATAAGAAAAGAATGTCTTTATTGAGTTTGGACATTTTTTTAAACATACAAAGTTGCGAAAAAAAAAGAAAATTATATATATAATATTTATAAATATTAAAAAAAAAAAAAAAAAAACGGATTCTTATTTCAAGGGGAAAGAAAAATAAAATAGACAACGGTATATATTTTTTTTTATTTACCTATTTTAATAAAAAAGTTATTGTATTACACTAATTCTGTGTCATCACGTGAAGTGACCTGAATATATACATTTACTTTACTTTTGATGATCTCGCGCACCAAAAGTCAATTATTAACTAAAAAAGACACGTGTATGTAACACAATTCCTCAAATAACAGTCTTGGGGAAATTTTGATGGGATAGAGTTTTAAAACATGCTTTATTGAGTCTTAAGAGATAATATACAATTTTGATTCTTATTTTCGAACGATGAAATCCCTTACTGCGGTGAAAATCACGTGAAGTGATGTAAAATAATTTAATACATATTCTATACCCTATAGCTAAAATAAATATCTCTTAAGGAACCGCATTTAAAATCTTTAATCACACCATCCTTCTTGTATCTACTTAACATTTCCGTATATTCCTTTCCTTTATAATGATGATCTGATGTAATTATCGAAAGTGGAATTCGACTTCTCCAATTTTCTAAAAAAGTTTTCAAGGTTTCCAATGAAAATTTAAACCCAGGATATAATGGATAAAATTCCCCAAACCTAATTTCTCTTAGATTATTCGATGCCGAATTTATTAACGCTTTGGTTAATCTGTCTCCGGATGCAAACTTTCTTTCTTCAAGTGACTTATATTCATCATTCGTAAAGGCATTTATACTTAATATTAATGTCTTCAAATTTTGACATTTTTCTATTAATACTTCGAATTCGATAAAATGTTCCTTAGTTGATGAAAAGGCAAGGGTCAAATGTTCTATCAAAGGACAATTTTTATGTATTGTCCGAATAAGAACGAGATAATCATCATTATCAATATCATCATACCCATCAACCAAAATCTTCTTGAGGTTCCCCCTACTGTTATTAATTATAGAAATAATCGTGCTGATTTGAATATAGTCTATTTGAAGGATTTCAAGTTTTTGAAAACATGAATTTTTCAATTGATGCTCAAATTCAAGACAAGAATCATTAATTATTAATGTCTTTAAGTTGTGAAATTTTGAAAATTTTATTGGTATGGTCCCATAATAATAATCAAAATCTTGAAAGCTCGTTACGAAATGTACAAGTGTATCAGCCTTTCTCTCCAACGTTTGAAAAATTTCTTCATAAGTATCTCCCGTAACGGAATCATCAAAATCATTTAAATCATCCTTCCACTCAAAATATTTTAAATTTCTCTGAAGATCAATTAACTTGACGATTCCGTTGTTTAAATTTATATCTGTGTTGATAATGATGAGCCTTTGTATAAATTGACAGATACGTGCCAACCCATAAAAGTAGGTCGGATCAATAGATGTATCACATTTTATTTCACAAAGTGAATCAAGTCGAGTCTTTGCTTCTATAAAGTAAAAGATTTGATGCTTAAGTGATCTCATATCCAAATACTTTAACTCTGAACATTTTCTCATAAAAAGGTTGTAAATTTCTTGTTGCAAGAGAAATTGCTTATAAGCTGAAGGGGAACCAATAGAAATTATAATGTTTAAAATATTTATATTGAAACTTCTGCAGAAAAGCAAATAATCGAATAAAAATGATTGGTGTGAAGTTTGTGGTATTTGAATTCCTTGGGTTGTTAGAAATTCTTTGACATCATCGGATAAAAAGGAGATGATAATGTTGTACAAGGAACTTTTGTTGTGATAATTAATGTTATCATCATAGCACCAGGGATCCCTCCATAAAATCGGAACCACGGTTTCACACCAAAGTCTATTAACCAATAGACATGAAAATAGAGACTTTGAATCATCTTGTAATTCCTCAAATAATAAGAAAAGAATGTCTTTATTGAGTTTGGACATTTCAAGTAAATATGGTTTTTTTTTTTTTTTAAAAAAAAAAAGAAAAAAAAAAGGGATGGGCAAAGAATTTAAAGGATTTATACAATATTTATTTAATAATTTCCCGACGTATTTGGACACAGTTTGATTAAAAAAGGAAGATAAAAAGTTACTGTTTATGTTCTTTTATTTAACCAAAATTGGATTTATAGTGTCAATGATGTTTATGTAGGCGGCTGTTATGTAACTTTATCTACAGAAGAAATTGCCTAATCGTTCAAAACCTCTTTCCATTTTAAATTTCTTTTTAAAATAAGAAATAATAATCATCCAATTTAAAAATTCCCTTCCAGTAAAGTCAACTTCTTGTACAGAAGTATCGTCGATAAAAAATGTGCAATTCCTTTTAGGCATATATATGATCATACGTAATCTAAATTCTGGTTGGATCGATAAGGGAACCTCAGCAATAACCACTTCTATATACAGTATATAAAACACACGTGCTAAAAATAAAGCCCGATTTGGGCGAAAACTTTATCTCAGAAAAGATCTTAAATATATGCATGATATACATCCTGATGCACATTAAAGCTAATCATTAGACCATAATATCATCAACGTCAATTTTGCAACTTGATTATCTACGATGAATATTAAAGAAATGATGTTATTTTAAAATGTAACGAAGTTCTGTAAAGCCTCCATACTCTAAACATTCCTTAAGCACATTAAACCAATAAAGATTTTCAATGGTGCGCAATATTCTACCCCTTCATTGAGGATGGGTAATTGTGTTTACCGCACCAGTCAAAGTCAACTAATATTGCTCGAACCTCTTCATCTTTTTTATACACCATGCAGAGAAGCTTTGCGCGAACCCTTTAGAAGCGCGCTTTTACATTATATCGTTGAGCAAATTTCACGAAAATTGTCTGTCGCGCGCTAGCCAACAAATTAATCTTTGGCAAACTTTTTGTTAAATAATATTACACTGTTATCCTAGTGTACTGATGAGAGAATGGATAAATCGTTGATGTATGAAAAGCTTTAATAAAAATTTCTTAGACGTTCAAAAGCAGGTATGGCTTTGAAGGTGAAATTGGCACATAGAGCACATACCCATGGACCATAGATGGCAATAAAAACAAGCTTTACAAGAGCGAATGTTAGCCGAACGACAAACGACTTTAAGCGAATGAAATTATTGAAGACAGTTGCTGTTATATCGAAACTTTCTTGTGCCCATCTGGGATGTAATGCTCATCTTTTGGTATTTTCTATTTCTTCAGCTGTTATTCTAACAATTGAACGTCTTTCATTTTTGTATCCATCCGCCATATAATTAATAAGAGGATTGATCATGTTTAAAATCCTTATTCTTGTAGCCTATCGTTATAAGTGGCCCAATACAGTCATGTGGACAATGATTCAAGATAACTGGATTTGCAGAAAAATGTTAAACGTCGTGCAAATGTTGAAATTTATTGGACTCGAGACATTTTCACGATGATTTTCGTCACTATAAAAATATCAATGTTTCATGAGATACCTGAAAATCAGAACACATACATAAGTTTCCTCAAACAGAAGCACCATTAATTCTTGTTCTCGAATTTTTTTCTTTGATGGAATTACTACAGCGCGCTATCAAAAAGATTAATTATGACTCAAAGACTTACCGGTATTAACAAATACTTGATGTGGTTTGTCATAAGTACAGTACACTTATCCAAAAAGTTGTCAAATCATATGTTCGTAAAAAATTTTAATACCATATTATTCTCTTAAGATGATGTCGCCAACATCCACATATTTTAGTTTGTTAAATAGTTCGTCTTTTAAAGTTTTTAACAAGTGTGCAATCATATTCTCTTTAGTTTTGATTTCGTTTAAAAATAAGAAGATTTGGTCGTCGTTTTTGCGTGCCCACACACAATAAATCGATTTTACCATCTTCAAAAACGCCTCGATTACAAAAAATATCTGTGAAATAATAATTATCAACAGAAATTTTGATAATTATATATAACATGTAACTGTAGAGAGGTATTTATTTAACAATAATAAATTACTTATCACCTGCCATAATATTTTACTTATTAAATAAATTTCTTTTCCATTTTAAAAATAAATTATTTCATTTTAGAAACCAATGTTTTGAATTAATTACATAAATTTCCGATCAATCTATTTCAAAGGAAACAGTCATATGAATGCTCTTTATAAAGAGCAATTCTTAAAATACTTTATTTGAAGAATTGTAAATTATACGCAGTCAGGATATTCCATCTTGGAATGTTAAAAAATTTGTATTATTACAGGATTTGATTTAATATGATGACAATGCGAAATTAATAAAATGTGCAAACAATTTTTTATAATTATATAATATAAATATTAGAAATTTCGAAATTAATATCTTTGACATATCTTTAACATATCTTAGCATATAATTTTTATTAAAAGAATATACAATAATTTGGAATAAGAAAACAAAAATGCAAAGCTAAAAAATAAAAAGGCAATTAATATTTAACTGATTGGTTCACTAGAACAAAGATACTAATAAAATTAAGTGGATCTGCCGATATGTAAAGATAATTTAACGCATAAATACATAAATAAATATATATAAAGTTTACTACCCAGTAAGGATAAGTATAATCGCATGATTGTGTAAATGGTGTCGATCATGGAATAATATCCTTTAGGTTTCGCGTTTTATATAATTCCTTTTCCAATCCATAAGTCGTTCTTCTTTTATAATAATTTACATTTAGATTCAACATATTTTCTAAATTTCTTGTCTATAATCAATTTTTCTCTTCACAATGGAACCTCTAATCATATTTTCGCTTTACTGATAACGTACGCATTTAAACGTCAATTAAAGATATTAAAGATGCACATCGGGTGAAGATTTATCCAAGATAATAAATACCTCGGAAAAAGTGATGACGCTACATTATAACGCGAGACATTTCGATACGTGTATGTTTACGGTTTAAGAGTGATATACAATTTATTCGAATCACAAATTGAGCCAGTAACACAATGAATAGGTCAAATATCATCAATTACTTGAATTACGCATTCCAAAATAATTAAAAATTAAATTTTATCGTTAATCTACACATCACCACCAAATAAAACTTCCCACGGTTTTACCACATTTAAATTCTTTAATCATTCCATCATCCATAATATTCTTCTTTTTTATATAAGTGATCCGATGTAATTATCGAAAGCGGAGTTCGACCTCTCTCCAATTATCTAAAAAAGCATCCAAGGTTTCCAATGAAAATGTAATCCCATAACGATGTGAAACCATTTCCACTAATCTAATTTCTCTTAAATTATCTGGTGCCGATTTTATTAATACTCTTGATAATTCTTCTCCTGATTCAAGCTTTATTTCATCAAACGATCCGGGATCATCCACTTCTTGCACTTAAAACAAGTGATTTTTAATGATAACGCCTTCAACCTTTGACATGCTTTTAGTAAATTTTTCAAATTCAACAAAATGAATCGTTTTAAAGGACAATATTCATAAACCGAACGGATAAGGAGAAGAGATTCTTGATAATAGTTATCATTATAAACAACGTCATATCCGGCGACTAAAATTTTCCAAAGGTACCCTCTGCAGTTTTAATCACGTAAATGATTGTGCTGAAAGGAATAAACTCTACCTGAAGGGTTCTAAGATTTTGAAAACTTGAACTTTGAATTTGATGTTCAAAATTATGGGTATAATTTTTAAACTTTAACACTTTTAAGTTATGAATTTTGAAAACTTTATCGGTATCGCTGGTGTCGGTGTGTGTCCATAATAATCATTATAATTTTCAAAGTACGTCAGGTATTTGCCTTTTTCTCTAATGTTAAAAAATTTCACCTTTACCACGAATTGACGATCATAAATCATTATCAATCCATTCAAAATATTTTAAATTCTTCTGTACATCAATCAACTTGACAATTCCATCATTGACCTTTATTTCTTTGTTGATAATGATGAGCCTTTGTATCGATTGACAGATACGTGCTAATCCATAAAAAATACGTTGGATTAATGGACATATAACATGTGATTTCACAAAGTGTATCAAGACATGTCTTCGCTTCTGTAAAATAAAAAAGTTGGTAATTAAATGATCTCATATTAAAATACTTTAATTCTGGACATTTTCTCATAAAGTAGTTGTAAATTTCTTTGTTGTAAATGAAATTGTTTATAAGTTGAGGAAGAACAACCAATAGAAATTATTTTGTTTATGACATTTATATTAATACTCTCTTACAGAAACACAGATAATCGAACAAAAGCGATTTGTGTGAAATTGGAGGTAAATAGATTCCCTTACTGGTTAGGTATAACTTGATATCATTGGATAAAGAGAAGGTAATAACGTAATATAAAGAAATTTTGGTTATCATAATTTATTTGATCTTCAAAACGCCAGGGATTCTTCCATTAAAACGGAACCATGGTTCTACACCAAAGTCTATTAACCAATAGACATGAAAAGAGAGACTTTGAGTCATCTTGTAATTCCTCATATAACAAGAAAAAAATATCTCTATTGAGATTGGACATGTGAAAAAAGGAATCGTCGTGCTTAAAAAAAAAAGGAAAAAAAAAAGCAATGAAACATCCCATTATATATATTTTTTTAAATTATCGTTATTATGTGCGACTTATTTTAATTGTGCAGCCAAAGAATTGATGGTGAACTATGACCTATATATGGTATATCAAACATACATAATAGCTGTCATTATTTTGTAGGAGATATCGTTAGAAAGTACAATATTTTTTGACGCAGTTAGGTTGCGAGGCAAAACCCAAACAATAGTTGAAACCTTTAGATTTCGTTGGGTTTTCGACGGGTTTCGATTTCGATGCCTTCAATTCATTTTGTAAAAATAAAAATCGACCTCCATAAATTAATTCCTTTTTGCTGATATATATATATTTATACATATATTTATATATATTTGGCCAAAAATAAATTTTTTTTTTCGTTGTTTATGGAATTACATAAAATCGTGTAACAAGATTTTTTTTTTTTTGCTTGTTTTGTTGATTTAGGTAAAAACCTTTATTATAGAGGAAAGCTTTCCTCTTTAAGTAATCTTTATAAATCACCGTGTAACAAACAGACATATCAATCGTTTCGAATTTTGTGATACATTATAATGGTATAATTTAGTTTAATTCTGGTGTTTTAACATTTAAAAAAATTTTCCCCCTTTTTTATCATTTTAAAAAAAAAAAAATTAAAAATTAAAATTAAAATTAAAAATAAAAATAAAATAAAATAAAATAATAATTTTTTTATACTTCATTATGTCAGCTATTCGACAAGAATTGATTAACGCTGCATATCAGAAAGCACACGCATTAACGGATTATATTATTGACGACGAAGGACATGAATCAAGACAGAAATTAATCCTCGCTGATAAATCTCTTACAAAGGATGAAAGATCAGAAGCGATAAAAGTATTAAACGAAAATTACGATTACTACAAAATTCTTTCTAATAAAGGAAAGAGAAGGCTATGTAATAATTGCAACCAAGAATGTTTGGCAACTTTATATTGTGAATATTGTATTCGAAACTATTTGAAATCGAAATTTTCAAATTGGACATCAGGGAATAATGACGTCGACAGTTTAATCCAGAAATGTCAAATGGAAGCTCACTCTCCTGATTATATACTTGAGTGGATATCATATGATAAGTTGACGAATATTAAATATTTAACTAGGGGTGGAAGTTCCGATATTTATTTGGCGGAATGGATCGAAGGAGGTTATGATAGATGGGATGAAAACAATCTAGAATTAAAAAGGTTTGGTAGTGAACATGTGATCCTTAAAAGGTTGGAAAATGTAAAACTTGCTAACAAAAGTTGGTTTGAAGAGGTACGTTAAAATATTTATAAAATTTTTTTAAACGTAATTTATCTTCAATGATAACTAATAAAATAAATAAATAAACGTATAGGCAAAATCACATTTAACTTTGGGAAACAAGAAGACGGTGGTTGTTAAATGTAATGGGTTTACTCAAGAACCATCAACGAAAGAGTATTTTCTTGTGATGAATCAAATGGATATAGATTTAAGAAGATATTTACTACAAAATCATCACCTTTCATGGAAAGAAAGAATTCAAATCACATTTTATATAATAGATGCACTTAATAGCATTCATAAAGATGATATTATCCATAAGGATTTGCATTCTGGGAATATACTATACTTACAACATAATAATTATTGGTATATTAGTGATCTTGGATTTTGTGGACCCGCTGACATGCCAGCAGGAAGTATCTACGGAAATTTACCTTATATAGCTCCTGAAGTCATTGCCGGAAAAGGGTATACTAAAGCATCTGATATTTATAGTGTTGGCATGCTTATGTGGGAAATCGCATCTGGACAACCACCATTTAATGATTTTGAGGATGACTATGATCTTGCAACAAAAATAATAGACGGATTTAGACCAAAAATAGTATCAAACATTCCTTTAGAATACAAGAAATTAATGGAAGAGTGTTGGGGCGCCGATCCATCAAATAGGCCTGATATTGGTGTTCTTCATAGTAAAATAAATGAAATCAATAAATTATATGATCAAAAATTAAATGGAAATAAAAGTATTATTAAAAAATTTTTGAAAAGTTTTCAACCAAGTCAACCAAAAACAGATGATGGTTTAGAAATAAATGAAACATGTAATATAGAAATAATCCTTAGAGGCTCCAGAACATTTATAAGTAAAGTTTATAAATTTGAACATTTCCCTGATCCAAAGAATGCAATTGAAGGTAAATCTCAAATCATTTATTCTCTCTTTAATTTCATATTTTAAAATATAACATTATATTCCTTTTAAATAGAAATGGATGATCACGAAGGTATATACAATTTAAGGCATTTCATCATGGACTGGACCGCGTTATATTTTATTAATTCTTTTTCTTTTTAGTTGAAAATTGTAGTAATTCAAGTGCAAAGAATAACAGTGCAAAATCGGGTAGCATCTTTGAAGGTAAATGTATATATTAAAATCCAAATAATAATTGAGCGTATATTAATTTTATTTTTAATTGTTTTAGGCAACAATAAGAGCAGCAAGAGATTATCTAAAGTATTTAAAAAATTACGACTGAATCACTCCAGTTCTGGTAAGTAGAATTGACGTCAATCATAATATATATAAAATAATTTAATTGAATATGATTTATTTTTATAGATATTCATAATAGTGAAGTACAACAACAACCAAAGGGCCATAGTAGTGGTATGGATATAATTTTGAAATTTTATGATATTAATTTTATCTGATTTTAATCTTCCTTTTTTTTACAGATGACGACGATACTTCCAACCTTCATTTAAATGAAACAAATCATTTAGAAGTACAAAATAGATTAGAAGTTCCTGATGTAAACTTTTTAAAACACATGAGTATTTAAAGTAGTAGTATTTTGTATTTTTACTGATGATTTGTGTTTTATTTTTAGATCAATTTTAAATCTATTTAGATTTAGAGAAACTATTCAATAATAATACACCATTTTATATTTATATTATATTACATTTTATTTCATTAAAAGTCATCGAATATATTTTTTTAGAAACGTCACATACATTAATAAAAGGCGAAATAGAAATTTAAGTCTACATTAATTTCTCTAAATACCTATCAGATCATATCACACCAATCACTTTTCAAAAAATACTCATTTTAGAGATCGAACCCTATGTTTCGATATCGACTTTCAACGGGATGTTTTATATATAGTTTCTACCCTTTTACTATATTTGGAAGTTTGCTATTAAAATCATATGATTTTTATGTATTGATTTTAATAGCACTAGGGAACGGTTTCGGAAACCGTTGTTAATTCCGGAGCACAAGTGTAACGAAAGGGACCAACCACGTATCGACTCAAATTTTGAGCGGGCGGACAAACAGACACCGGCACAAAGACTTTTGTGTAATTGCGGTCCCACAATTAAACATCACTTAATTTTATGTTTACACAATTGCGTCATAAATTTATTATACAATTTACATATTATTGATATATAATGCTTTAAGCAAAATCCTAATCAGAGAAAAGCTGATGTTAGATGAAGTTTATAATATAAAAAAAAATTAAAATTAAAGTTTAATAATTATATAAAAAAATACTTAATTGCCGATTCGCAAGTTACACAAAGTGATCTACATTTACTAATAAAGCGTGACGGGTATAGGTGTTATAGATTTACAATTACACTATGGAATTTATGCTCGAAATTGGTGGGAAACAGTTAGTATTAAGTCAGCTGCAGATATTAGACAGAGTTTATTATTATAGTCACTTCCAACGATGAAAATTTTCTGAAGCAAGGTTTTCAATGTATATGTGGAAGGATTAAAGTGAAATTGAATCATATCCATCTACAGCAATTAAAGCATG